ATTATATTAGTTTCTAGAAAAATATGTATTAATTATTAAATCGATATATTTATTCAGTACAACATTACATAAGACACTTAATTATTATGACTCATAAATAATAACAATAATTTAAAAGTTTATAAATATTTAAGTCATTCATTTAGATCTTTCCAAATAAAAATTAATAGACAGTCAGTATAAATAACATATTTTACAAAATATGTTAATTATGTTTCATTAGTTATTGTATTTACTGCTTACTAACACACTAAATTAACTTAAGTGTTAAAATATTTTTTACAAGCACAATCCCTTCCGTCTTAGAAAGAACAAATATTTAAGAGGAAAACGAGTAGTTCGGAGATTGAATATTAGAAACGTTTCAAGATACACGCTAAATTTTATAAGAATAATTTAGTTTTTAAGAATTTTACAAGAATCCAAAAACTAATTTTATTCATAATTTTTTTAAAGAGGGTTTATGCTGAAAAGTATTGTGTAATATTATGTACATTTAGGTTTGATGTATTCATGTAATATATTTTTACATGGTCGGGTTGTTTTATTGGTAAGTTTTCAATAAAGTTGTACATCTTGTGTAAGTGTATTTGACTGCATTTAAGTTATGGTTGCATTCAGATTTAAAAAAGTATAATGAAATAACTTCATTAAAATTATGGTAATTTTAAGTAGATGTAGATCCAAATATACCTCAATCAGAATGAAAGTTTTTATATCTTTGTTGGTTACCATTTCTTTATACTTCTTTTATGTGCTTATAATATCATTGAATGTATTGTTATATATTCAATCAAGTATTACAAGAAATATGTTCGAGTTTCATTACTCAATAATTTTTTTAAACATCACTTTGACTCCTTTTTTATTTTATCAGTGAATATCCTTTTTTCTACAGATTCATGTGAAAATAAAAATTAATTTAGAGAAATTAAATTTCTAAAATCTGATTTTAACAAGTACAATTTTGTTTGAAATTTTTTTTATTTTTTCCTTTTATCATAAAAATAGCTAAAGAAAATTTTATCCAAACACATCATCTAGCAAAATGAAAAATTTAATTGAAATAAAAGTTTTAAATTTATTCACTTTCCCCTCTTCTTTTGGGTCGATTAACTTTGAGTTCTGAATTAAACTCTCTAAAGGGGTTTAGGGTGTTACTCCCTCCACCACCACCACTTCTCCCTCCACCTTCCCAAAATTCTGAAAAAAAAAATAATTACAAAAATAACATTTTTTATTTTTAACCCTATTTATTTACTTTAAACTCAAACTCTATCTTTCTATCCATTTTTACTTTTCACTCAGCCCCACCACTTAACTCTCCTTCTCTCTCTTCCCACCCCCCAACTCCACCACATCTGTTTGTTTTAATTACAAAAATATTAATATAATAAAATTATATATTTCATATAATTAAACTAATAAATAATTTTTTATATAGTTATAAAATTGTTAAAGAATACAAAAACCATATATAAAAAATATATATTATACAAAAACATTAAAACAAAAAACTAATTATATATAACTGCAAAATACAAAAAAAAAATAAACTAATAACAATAAAGATCTTCAAAAATACATTATTAAAATACATCAAAAATATATTAAAAAATAATACATCAAAACATATAAATTACATTATTAAAATATCTCCAAAATAAATATTAAAAAAATAAACTAATAAAAATAAACATGTAACTTTAAACGGATGTGAGCATGCGTCAACGGATGTCAACATTCGTTTAAGGCAAAACGGATATCGACATCCGTTTTTCCTTAAACGGATGTGAGCATCTGTCAACGGATGTCAACATCTGTTTAAGGTAAAACGGATATCGACATCCGTTTTTCCTTAAACGGATGTTGACATCCGTTGAGGAATGCTCACATATGTTTAAAGATTATACGTTTATTTTTTTAGGATTTATTACGCACCTTCACAACAAATCCTTCAAGCACCACCACACCACCACCACACACCGATCTTGGCACGACTGATCAATTGCTTCTACAACCACTTGCAATCTCTCACTAAGCACATCAGCTAATGAAAGTTCACCACACTCTGAGACCACAATTCTATCACAATTAAAAAATGAGAGGAAGAAGTGGAACGTGAAAAAAAGAAGAGCACAATAAAACATGAGGGGACGAACGATAAAGAGGAAGAAGAGTTGTTGCTGCATACATGTAGATTATTAGAGTGGGTAAAGATTAAAAAAATTAACCCTAAAATTTTACTAAGGATAAAATAGGAATGGAAAAATAAAGGGAAGGGTAAAACAAGAATGGGGTGGTGGAGGGAGCAACACCCAAGGGTTTAGGCCTTAGATAATGGTCAAGGCCTTATCTTCCTGCACGCCCATACTTTTTAACTGCACACCTGAATACTGGGCCTGTTTACCTTAGCCGAAACAATAGTATCCCATGAATTTTGAGGTGTTTCTTCTCGCCCATTATACAACTTTTGGCCACATTTTCAATTACTTTACTTTAGAAACTTTATCTTTCATTTCATATTTAAAAAACTATGATCTATTTCACTGATAGGAATGCTAAAAGCATATTAAATTAATTAAATATATATATAATTTAAGTATGAATCTAGGTTTTATATCACATAAAAATAAAAAAATTGAATTTTATATAAAGATGAAAACTTATAAATTTATTATTTTTGGATTAAAATAATCTTAATTTCTTATATATGAATTGAGCTTAAAACTTCTCTTAATAAAATATTATAAACATTATTCCAACACAAGAAGAGACTATCATAAATTTTATGGATTTTTACTCTTGGAAATCATGGTAGTATATAATTGTTTGCCCATAGAAAACCTAAAGATGATAATAAATATTTGGTAAAGATATTTTGATGTACCAAGCATGGCGTGACAGTTCTTTGAATGTAAACGAAGCTATCTCAAAACACAAAAAGAGGGACCACTTTGTCTACTTCTTTACCCAACCACAAGTGCAACTCTTTCAATACAAACCAAACTCTTTTTTTTTTTTTTATCTTGCTTTGTATTCAAACTGAGTATATTAATTGCATGAGGTAAGGATAGTTGAAGATGTAAGGACTGAAATACATGAACCCCTAACATTGAATTGTGGCTATTTTATCCCATCAATAAAGCAACTTTTGACTCAACAATATCAAACTCAACCAATGCCTCTCCTAATGCAAAACATTATCCTAAGCTAAAGTTTGTGCTACACTTTCCCTTCAACTCACTACTTTCTTTTTTCTTTTGGGTAGTGGAGGTCCTACCATTGGCCCTATCTAAACAAAAAGACACCATATATCTCATTACATAGAGTTCATTGTGATGTGTTGGACAATTTTTAGTAGATAATTAGAGCTTATCTTTTCTATTATAATATAATTCATACATTGACTTTTTTTTCGTTAAGACTCTTGGATTTTTGTTAAGATTAAGAAAATTTGGTATCAATCAGTCAAATAAGTTTTTATAATAAGACTATTAGATCATCTTTAATATAAAATCTAAAAATAATGTATTGGTGAGTCTTCTTTTTTATATAAGATTAAACTTACTTAAAATTATAACACTAATTACAACACTTACATGTTAAAACATTTAAGTCATTATTTTCTTGTAATAATGTTATGTCTAAACCCTAATTTGTGTTAGTTCATGTTTGTGGTGGGTGCTTCTTAAACATATAGATGGAATTTCAAATGTTCTTAACACCTTTTATTTTATCAATAATTTTGGCTATTAATTTTTATCGTGGCCTTTGTAAGTTTTTCAGAAAGTTTGATAACCTATTATTGATATGTAAGTTTGTGGTAAAATTAGTTAGAGGCTTCCATTTGAATTATTGTTTTTCCTATTCCAACCAAAGTCTCTTATGTAACACTTTCATAGTTCGTTTGGGGTGCTACCAACGTTGATGGTCACTTTCTAAAGTATAGGACAACAAAAATAATAGAATTTATCACTGTCTTCTATGTTATAAAAGAAGCGATGGTTACATTATAATTTTTTTATAACTTTTATTCCATTTTTCTAACCTAATTTTAAATTATTTATGTTTCTTCTAAGAAAAAATTATACAAAATAATGCATAAATCAAATACATATATTTAGTAATCAAAATTATAAGAAATGAAATTTAAACTTAATTCAAATTTATAAAATCGATTTATATGATAAGAACTGTACACTTACTCATAAACACATTTTTTATATCTTGATAGTGTCACTATATATTTATAAATAATAATGATACAATAGATTCATTTAATATAATATTAAAAATTAAATTTCAATCAATTTTATAAAATTAGTTTGTATTTAAAATTTACACTCACTTATATATTATAAATTAATTTTATTTTTAATTGATATAAGATTTTTAAACATTAATGTCACAATTTATTGGAAAAATCAAACGTAAATTTATATTTTATATTGAATAAAAATAAATAAGTTAAACACCATATAAAATTAATAAAAATAAATTTATTTTTTGAAGTTTTAAATTAGAAGCGATATTAAATCAGTCCGTTAAATTCATATTTCATTATTTATAACAAATTTCTAGCTACTTTATGTGGATTAATGAAATAAATATGAATTTATTTTATTTAACTTTGATACTCTTTGATCAATCATTAGTGCAAAAATCACATTTTATGACATATAAAAATAACTTATTATGATGTACAAACTGCGGTTTAGAGATGAACGAGAGTGAGAGGGAATGTGAAATTAGAGATAACGAGAGGAAAAGGTTTAGAGAGGAAGAGAGGAACGAGAGTGAGAGAAAATGTGAAATTAGAGACAACGAAAGGGAAATGTGAAAAATTAAAGAAGTAGAGAGATATTATGAGTGATTTCTAAAACTCTGTCATCAAGGTTGTCAAAGTCGAGAGTTTACGTAAACTCGTGAGAGTCCGGTAAACTCGACTCGTAAACTCGACTCGTAAACTTGTAAGAGTTTACTTTGTATGAAAAAAATATAAATAACATTCTAATTCAAATAAGATAACAAAATTATATAAATTGAAATACATAAGTTCATAGAAATATTGTTCATAAAGATATAATGTAAAATATAAATTGAAATGTCAAAGTCTCTATGCCTAATCCTCTAATCCTCTAATAATGGCATCATCATCTCCATCATCATCATCATCTAACTCTTCCTCTAATGAATGTTGTGCTTGTGCATCCTCATTGTTCTCAAATGTTATGTTATCAAGATCAAGAGCATCTAAAACAGGATCTGTTGTTGCTCCATCTAAGTGAACATTTTCACTATCATTTTCACCTTCAACTTGATCAATCTCAACAACATCATCTGTCTCTTCAGCTATCCATTCATCATCTGATTCTATGTCATCAAATGGAAGAGCTATAGTTTTTCGAATCTGTCTACTTTTCAGCTTGGAGTTATACATCACATAAACTAAATCATTCATCTTTTTTTGATGTAAACGATTCCTTCTCTTTGTATGAACCTAAAATGAAAGATAATATTTTTAGTGAAGATATAAACATAATAAAGGAATTTATAAATTAAAAATAATTTAAATTACCATTTCAAATGAACTCCAATTACGCTCACATCCAGAAGAACTACAAGTCAAGCTTAGAATTCGAATAGCAAATCTCTTCAACTCTGGAGTTCCATCACCAAACATGTCCCACCATTCCCCAGGATTTAACTCTTTCCTACACTCTTTTGCATCTTCCATTCCAAACAGGCCTCTAGCATTATGAAATTCAACAATTTGTAAATTAATTTTTCTTCTTTCTGCCATATCTGGTATCATTCTTCTCATGCAAAAATACAATCCTTCTTTCACCTCTCCACCATCATCAGATCTAAAGTTAGGTTCATAGTGGAAATGAGGGTTTAGAAAATAGGCAGCTGCATGCAAAGGCCTATGAAGTTGATTATCCCATCGAGCATCAATTATTCTCCAAACCTCTTCATAACTACATCAATCATGCTATATCAGAAATAATCTAACACATAAGTAATTAAACATTGAATGAGTAAAAGTTTGAAAATTTACCTCTTTTTGATATTGTTAAAGTTAGACCTAATCTTCTCTTTTGCACAGTCCATCTCTTCATAAATGAAACCCATTGCAGGTTTTACATCTGAGTCCACTAATCTTAAGACAACCATGAGAGGGGCAGCAGCTTTCAAGCATATGGAGACATTCTTCCAAAATCGGCTATCTAATACTACATGTGCTACTTTTCTCCCCTCTTGTGAAGTTCCAAACTTGCTTGTCTTCCATTCCTCAGAGCTGAACATGGTCAACAACGATGCCTTCAATTCATGAAGACAAGCAAGAGTTAAATAAGCCGTGGCAAATCTAGTCACACCCGGTCTTATAAGGTCTCTACCTTTAGTAAACTTTTTCAATAAGGAAATCAACATTGATCTCCCATAAATGTAAGTTGTAATTTTTCTTCCCTTCTTAATGGTCAATTCATGGACCTTCAAATTTTTTTCAAAATCTTCGAATATCAAATCAATGCAATGTGCTGCACATGGAGTCCAATACAATTTTTCCCTCTTTTGCATCAACAACTCTCCGGCTGCCTTGAAATTTGCAGCATTATCAGTGACAACTTGAACAACATTTTCTTCTCCAACAAACTCGACAACATCATCCAACATTTTGAAAACTTTATCAGCTGTTTTTGAAATGTCTGAAGTGTCAAGTGAATAAAGAAAAACCGTCCCTCTAGGACTATTCACCAAGAAGTTGCAAATAGAACGTCTTTTTCTATCCGTCCAACCATCAGACATAATTGTACATCCAGTTTTCTTCCACTCCTCCTTATATTCCTCAAGATTTGCATCTGTTTTCTTCACAGCTTGTTTCAAGAGCTTCNCATCTTTAATATAAAATCTAAAAATAATGTATAGGTGAGTCTTCTTTTTTATATAAGATTAAACTTACTTAAAATTATAACACTAATTACAACACTTACATGTTAAAACATTTAAGTCATTATTTTCTTGTAATAATGTTATGTCTAAACCCTAATTTGTGTTAGTTCATGTTTGTGGTGGATGCTTCTTAAACATATAGATGGAATTTCAAATGTTCTTAACACCTTTTATTTTATCAATAATTTTGGCTATTAATTTTTATCGTGGCCTTTGTAAGTTTTTCAGAAAGTTTGATAACCTATTATTGATATGTAAGTTTGTGGCAAAATTAGTTAGAGGCTTCTGTTTGTTTTTCCTATTCCAACCAAAGTCTCTTATGTAACACTTTCATAGTTCGTTTGGGGTGCTACCAACGTTGATGGTCACTTTCTAAAGTATAGGACAACAAAAATAATAGAATTTATCACTGTCTTCTATGTTATAAAAGAAGCGATGGTTACATTATAATTTTTTTATAACTTTTATTCCATTTTTCTAACCTAATTTTAAATTATTTATGTTTCTTCTAAGAAAAAATTATACAAAAAATGCATAAATCAAATACATATATTTAGTAATCAAAATTATAAGAAATATTTAAACTTAATTCAAATTTATAAAATCGATTTATATGATAAGAATTGTACACTTACTCATAAACACATTTTTTATATCATGATAGTGTCACTATATATTTATAAATAATAATGATACAATAGATTCATTTAATATAATATTAAAATTAAATTTCAATCAATTTTATAAAATTAGTTTGTATGTAAAATTTACACTCACTTATATATTATAAATTAATTTTATTTTTAATTGATATAAGATTTTTAAACATTAATGTCACAATAGACTGATTTAATTGAAATAAATAAGACTTTTTATTATGACGTACAAACTGCGGTTTAGAGATGAACGAGAGTGAGAGGGAATGTGAAATTAGAGATAACGAGAGGAAAAGGTTTAGAGAGGAAGAGAGGAATGAGAGTGAGAGAGAATGTGAAATTAGAGACAGCGAAAGGAAAATGTGAAAAATTAAAGAAGTAGAGAGATATTATGAGTGATTTCTAAAACTCTGTCATAATACATCATGAAATTTTCACACCTTATGACAGGTGGTCATACTACGTAATAATAGGTTTTGAACTTATTTACAAGTTTGTCACCGCGTTTCATATTATAACTGATATACAAAACTACGTCATAATATGTCTTAAACTTATTTACAAGTTTAACACCGCATTTCATATTATGATTGAGGTATAAAATTACGTTATAATATGTCTTATTTTTATTACGATTCTGTCACCGATCAATCTATTGTGATAAATAATTTTTATCCGTAATAGGTCGTTATAAAAAATATTTTTTACTAGTATAAATTGAGTGATATATAGATTGCAAAAAGTTGTAATTGTTGGAGTTAATATATATAGGTATTTGGGTTAAAATAAACTATGGTAAGTGTTATTAGTTTAAGCTTTAGATACATTATTTACAACTTTATTTTTTGTCTTACTTGATTGTTATCCCAAAGTTTGGTTTCTAGATTAGAAAAGTTGCTTATCACTTTATGATTGAAAAAATATAATTATTTTTAATGACTGAGTATCAACGTTCTATGATATTAATGAATAAACTACCGTTGGAGTATAATAATATTTAAATTTTCTAAATGAAAATATTATTTGAGTTTATCTCATTGATTTGTGGATTCCAAAATCACTGTATGAAGATCTTAGCAAACCCTTATCAGATAACGAATGTCCCAACTTCGCTTTACATGTATTATTGTATTGAAAGAGATAAGGTAGGTCTGCATGAATAATCACATTCAACCCATTTTTCTAATACTTTTCATCTCATCGCAGTGTTTGTTTCTAATTTCTTTTTATTATAATTTTTTTTTTGGAATATCTGTCTGCAATAATCAATGAAACTCAGATATTTTGTTTCTGGGTTTTCTCTGTTTAATTAAATCAAACACCTAACTATGTCTATCTCTTTCTCTTTCTCACACATTCCCATAAAACAAAATTCATTGAATATTGCCATAGTTGGCAACTAGTAGGAACATCAACAACACCAAAAATACATATTATAAATAATTAATATTTCTAACAGCTCTAATAAATGTTATGTGTGGGTCGTTACTCTTTTATTATCAGCATCCTTTAATGGATAAATCCACATTAGAACAAGTTTATTATTTTGAAATAATTAATATTACTAGAATAAATTCTTAATTTATGTGGTCAAATTCGTACTAAATGCATGCTAGACTTTAAGCTCAACTTGAACGTGATTTGGAAATCATCACATCATGTGTCCACCAACCTAGTCATTTTAAGATGAGCCTTTTTCAATCATTTCAAGTTTTTTCTTTTTATTATATAGTATCGAAAACAATAATTTATTTATAATAATATAAATAAATTATGAACCCGTTGAAAAATGTCACCATCTTGCATTTTGTCTTATTTGATAAATACTTTCTGTGAGTGATAATATTATTAATATTACGGATCAATTTAACCTTTTTTCTTCGTTTCTTGTGTAACTTTGTCTTAAAAAGATAATTCTTCTTCTTGCATTCCATTATTAGTACGTATTACACTTACTAAAATAAATAAAAAAATTAAATATTTTAACTCACGATTTAATCTTTAAATCTAATTTTTCTTTGTCTTTATTTTACATTTCTCACATTATTCATTACATTTCTATTAATATTGTATTTTATCGGTAAATTGGTTCGATGGTTATTTAGTGTGTTTTATAGTGAACTAGATTTGATGTAAATTCTCACTGTAAACACATTGTTTTTCAATTTAAATGAAAGTATTTTAATTTAATATTTTACAATTAATACAAAATTTATGTATAAAATATTTATATTGTAGACCAATTTTATAAATATGTTTAACCTCAATGATTTATCTTCTTATAATGTTAATTAATTAAGAATTTAAGTATTTCTTTTAGATAAAATTTGCTTTCAATTATGTGAATGGAAATATTAAATATGAAAACGAATTAAAGCATTGTTGTTAATTATTTAGAGAAGAGGTAGCAGGAATGGGAAATAAAAGGAGTGTTATTTAACAAACTCAATATCAAAGGAGCAGCTGCTGTTAATTATTATAAGCATAGAATGATGATATTTTGTTATTCGTCAAACAAAATAACACTCATTTAATAACTTAAAATAAAAATATTAATCTTATCTATTTTATTTTTTAATTCAAAAATTATAATATATATTATTATATTATTAAAAAAATTGTAAAGTAAATATAAATTTGTCTTGCCCAACATGCACTGTTTTAAATCGTGTTTGGAAAAGGGAGTCCCGTTATGCTGCATTGAGACTTTTTATATTATATTAATTGTAATTTGATATTTCTAGCGCAGCTTATATCAAACTTTATTTATTAAAAAAGGTGGTATACTCATTAAATAATTTTGGAATATAGTAAAACATAACCCTAGTCAATTATATTGTTTGCCAGACTTCCATAGATGAAACAGACCTCTAATTATAAAGTTTCGAATAAACTGATTTTTTTTTTCAAAAACTTTAAATAAATGCCTCCAAATTATATTAAAAAATATTTTTAAATAATCATTTTAACATTTAATTTACAACATATTTTTTCTTGTTCATGAAAAAAAAATTCAAAATAATATTAAAAATAAAAACTTCACAAAATAATAATTATAGCTAATCTTAAATTAATTGAGAAAACATCTTTACAGACAACAAATGCATAATCATTAAATAAGTCAAAATGGATAGGTTGACTATAACAATAGTGAATCTTTTTATAAAGTGTTATAGAATCTTGTTTTCTCCTTATTTTGTGTATTTCAGGGAAGCCAACATGGTTGAAACTTTGAATTTGGTGGTAACACATAATACAAATTTAGGATCTGAGTATCCAAAGTGGTGGGAAATAGCTAGCAATATACTCTCTTATCCCAGATATAGATATGTACCTAAGTCAAATAGACCTTCAAATGGGTAATCGAATTAGCGGTTTCGTCGTGCTTGTGTGCATTGATGTTGATATATTTCAAGAGGTTAGTATGAGCTATGTTTGGGATTGAGCTGAAGGGATGGAAGTCCTTGAAAATTCATTTCAAACCTGTGTACTCTGAAATCGTAGGCCAGACAATGAGATGTATGCCTTTAAAGGTTGTGAACTCGAGCGGAACCTAATACTCATTTCATCTTAAATGGTGATGAGATGGGTTGAGAGGCACCGAGATTCTCTTTGAAGTTCACTAGGTTTTCTTTGTGGTTAACTTATGTTTTTTGAAGTTGGTTGTCAATCTCTGATTTTTCTTGGGAAGTGCTTCACTTGTTGAGGAATGGTACGTCTCAATTATGAGTAATCATTCATGGGAATAGGTTGGTCGTGACGATCTTTCCCTTTCCAAATTGTACAATTTGGATTATAATAAAGATTAGCATGATGTTGCTAATACAATTGTTGAGTTAGAGTTTCAATTAGAATTACTAGTAGAGTCTTAATCTGTTTTTGCATAACTTGTAGGTTCGTCTAGTGTTGCCTCCTCAGTGGCTTATTTTGGTCTGAGGTGTTTCGGTTTAGTTGTAAGAATAATTAAGTTAGGTCGAGGATAACTTTACCGGTAAGCATCAAATGTTTTGAAATGTTGAGATACGAGACACCTAGTAAGATCTTGTATGTAACTTTTGATAGAAAAAATTTTACTTACTAAGACTTGAATAAGTAAAAAAGTTATAGATTTTTTTTAGAGTATAAGAAAAAATTATGAGTATAACTCAAACAAAGTGTACGTAGTTAAATTTCTTATAAAAGTTAGTTATGTGAGGTATTTGAAGTGTATTAAAAATAATTACCTCATACATAACATACATCAACAACTATATAATATAAATGCATGTTATAAATAAAATTTTTGAACTTTAAATATCGTTAAAACTTATTTACTAACCATCAGATACATACAATTGTAATTTGGTATTTTTGGCTTTATTTACTAAAAATTTTGGTCTACTCATTACATAATTTTGGAATATAGTAAAACATAATCTTCAACGACTATGTTGTTTGTCAAAGTTAAAAAAAATATTTTTTAATTCTAAAGTTTTTAATAATATGTTCTTGTGCAAAAACTTTCATATTTTATATTAGAAATAAATTGATCAAATTATATTAGAAAATATTTTAAATAATTATTTTAACATTTAATTTATAAAATATTTTAGTTCTCCGGTTAATGAAAAAAAAACTTTTTTTTTCAAAAGAATATTAAAAAAAAAAACTCCTTAAAATATTATCTCTTTCTAATAATTGATTGAAAAATTATGGCTAAGATAAAATATTTCAGAACATTGAAAAATGATTCTTACACCACCCAAAATTAACAGGTCTATATAAAAAAGTTCTCAATTGAAAATTAAGAAAGTTTGTGTGTTTTCATAAATAATATCAATTTTCAATGTTAAGTTTATTGAAATAATATTATTAGGTTAATCATTGTACATATTTTTTCTTTTAAATTTTTTTCTTATACTTTTACCTTTAAAAATATCTCAAATATGAAAAGAAGAAATGATATATTAAAATTGTTCTCTCATAAATAAAAAAATAGAAGAATATTAGATATATTAAAATAATATTGATTTTTATTTTGAAAGTTTTGAAAGACTTTTTGGATCTCAATCATACCAAGAATTAAGCAATGTAAAAGGATAGTAACTTTTGAGATTTGATGCATAAACAAGGCATAGTTAGAGAAGTTTTGGGCCTTAATGCAAGTGGTAAGGCATTTACCAGAATTTGAAGGAGAGTTTAGTTAAGTAACAAAGCCAATGCACAAGTGTAAAATATGATGGCCAAATTTCAGATTTCGATGGATGTGTGAAGTAGATATGAAGATTTTAAAGGTGTCAGATGGATTATGGGTTTTGATGTAAACGAGAGAGACCTTGGACTACTTTGAATTTTCATCAATAAAGTAATATATTTATTGAAAGAGTAATTTTTTTTTAAAATTATATATATATATATATATATATATATATATATATGTATGTGAGATTTTTTTAAATTATCCGTAAGACAGAGAAAAGAGTCTTAAATGCATAACAAGTCTCAAGCTTGAGAATATTTTGAGTGATTCTTCCTACATTTCACTGTCTTCATCCTGCACCTCCAATTTTACTTCTTTATCCTTTATTAACAAAAAATCAAAAATTAATACCGCACTTCGAAGTGCGTTTTAATTAATTTTTTCCTAACCGCACTTCGAAGTGCGTTTTCTATTTTAATTAATTGTTTCTTTCCTAACCGCACTTCGAAGTGTGTTTCCTATCTATTTAATTGTTAATTGTTTCTTTCCTAACCGCACTTCGAAGTACGTTTCCTATCTATTTAATTGTTTCCTAACCGCACTTCGAAGTACGTTTCCTATTTTAATTAATTGTTTCCTAACCGCACTTCGAAGTGCGTTTTAATTAATTATTGCACTTTAAATTCAAAATAATATTTAACATTACATATAATAATTATTATTTAATTCAATAAACAATTTAATAATTATTTCAATTTCATAAAAAATTAAAAAACTTAAATAAAATTAAATACATAATAAATAATATATTAAGAAAATAATAATATGTTGAAAAATAACAAATTCAACAAAATTTAACAAACAAATAAAATAATTCAAAATATATTAAAACAAAACATTTTATTTAACAACTAACATAAAAAATTAAATTTATTATACTAACCTAATAAAAATAAAACCTAATAAAATAAATATATACTAACCTAATAAAAAAATTAAGAAACTAAACCCTAAAAGAAGTGCGGTTTGTCTCAGCCGCAGATCAAAATGCGGTGGGATCTCCGTGCTTTACGCATTTTGAGCTGCGCTGGTGGGTTTGTGCTTTCCGCAGATCGAACTGCGGTTTCTCTGTGAAGGATATCATTGGAATTAAAATATGTTTTGGAGGTGCAGGAGAAAGTTGCCGCAGTTCAAAATGCGGTTTCTTTGTGAAGGGTATCATTGGAATTAAAATATGTTTTGGAGGTGCAGGAGGAAGACCGTGAGGTGCAGGGAGAATCAATCGATTATTTTTAACATCAAAATAACTTTTTTTTTTCTATCTTTCTAAGTAAATACTCTAGACTCATGAAACATCTTACTAAATATTTATTTTTATGGAATTTAAAGCTAAACTTTATATTTGTGATCTACAATAGTATAGACTTAAATAGAATAACCTCAAGCTCACATGAAATGACAACTTAAAAGGAATAAATTAATTTACCAATTACAAATTATGTATGGCAAACAATTATACAATATTGTCCGTTCTTTATTATTATTGTCGCAATCTCTCTCTTAATTCTCCTACCAACTACAATATCAAAGTCTTTATTCTCATTTCATCCCTATCCACCTACACCTACAGCATCTACATCTTATCCAGAATAGTTTCGAAAAATAGAAATTTTGGCATAATCGTTATTGCCATTTATTGTAATGCAATTCCTCTAAATAAACTAAAATTCAATTGTTGAACTTTTTCTCCAACACAGAAACTATAAAACTAATCTCACATTGGAGTAAAAGGTTAAAATATGTAAAGGGAATGCGGTTTCAGGTCTCGACATCCAAAATTATATTACTTTATTTTCATCAATATACAGTGCAGCAAGAAAAATTAAAGTGAATTTCGAAAGACGTGCCTTTTTTTCTACAAACAAAAGATGTTCCCATGAAGAACCCTAATTCAGTTTAGATGAGCTGTGGTGAGAATTGAGGAAAGAAAATGATTCAGTTGAAATATCCGGAATCGAAATTCCCGAATTAGGAAGCATGCGCTTGGTCTGATATAATAAAAGGAAACACTGAGAGGATAAGCATCGGACACCCATGATGAACAACATTAAACACATAATATTCTAGGTAAACGGGCTTTTCTGGTTCCTGTTCTTGCCACGTCACACCCAACGTGTCAAATCCTTCTTTCTCTCTCACCCATGCCACTTTCCTTTTTATTTTCTATTAATTTTATATATATGAATAATAATCCTTCCTCATTCTCCATCATCTCCACTTAATTTCTTTTCGGCCTTATCTCTATCTTCTGCAACTTTCTCTCTCTGTCTCTCTCTGGGAGTGTGCAGATTGATGACAAGTAACCCCATTACGTGGAAGCCTAAGAGGAGGAGAAGACGAAGAGGACAAGGGTGACTGAATCGCCGCTTCAGGGGCTTCTTGTTTCGTTTTACTTTAAGTTTTTCTCTTTACAAGAAGGTGAATACAAATGGAGGTTCTGGTGGGTCCCGCTTTCACCATCGACGTTCCGGCCGACGGAAACTCCTCAGAAGATCGGATCTTTCTTAATGGGTCACCAGAAAGTGACCGCTCGAACATTCGGATCTCGGGGCCGCCCAAGTTCTTCACTGGCGAGTCGGAAACTTCGTCGTCGATCGGAAGCCCCGATGACAGTGACAACGAGGAGGAAGTGCAGAGCAAGTTGAAGATACGAACTGGGTTGGGGTCTTTGGATGCCATGGAAGATTCTCTTCCCATCAAGTTAGTTCCTTTACTTTCGCTCTCTCGAAAGCCCTCTCGTTTGATTTGATTCCCGTAGACATCAAATGCTTTTTTCCCTGGGATTCTTTTTCTTTTGGGTTGTCTCCAATTGAAATATTTTATTCAAATTTTTTAGCTTTGGATTGTGGTATCTGATACGGGGATGTTTTGGGATTTTTGATAAGCGATGCAGGAGGGGATTGTCTAGTCACTTTGATGGAAAATCGAAATCGTTCTCAGATCTGTCGCAAGTGAGTACTTTGAAGGAGTTGCAGAAGCAGGAGAGTCCTTTCAACAAGAGAAGAAGGGTTCTGATTGCATCAAAGTGGTCCAGAAGATCATCTTTCTATTCCTGGTCCAACCCACAGTCCATGCCTCTTTTGCCTGTGGATGAGGATTGTGATGATGATGATGACGATGAAGAGGAAGAAGAAAAGGCAAGTAAAGTTCCCTCTGCTTCCTCTTCTTCCTCTTCCTCCTTGGCTGAGGAAAAAAAACCAGAAGATCAAGTTCAGCTGCGACTCAACAGAGTACCAGAATCTTATGCTGCTCATATGAGGCTCAGACTTGGAAGCTTCAAGGCAAGAAGCTTTTCTCTTGCAGATCTGCAAGAGCACGATGACGAGGAAGAAGACGAAGATTAATTGACATTTAACATAGGCTGTTTTTTTTTTTTTTTCCTTTTTGCTGTTTTGGTTTATTCTTTTGTTATTGTTGTTACTAAATAAAATTAAATAGTATGAAGTAAAAGTAACTATGTGAAAAACAAAAACAAAAAAAGACTTGTGCTTCTCTTTTTGCTTTACGTTCAAAGAAGATGAATTTTGTTAAGGAATATACTGTGCATATCCTGTAGGTGTGTGGTAGGAAAGTAATGAAAGCATGTAGGTTCATATAATGACAGAAGCAGCGAAGTTTACTTTTGTGCGATGGGGTTTGTTTGTTTGGTTGGGAATATGGATATTGGGAAGAAGGAAAATTGGGTGAAACCATGGTCGCAGTCACTCGGTGAGGATTTGGAGCGTATCTTGAACAAATCTTATCCTATCCTTTAAACTATGAATAGTTGTACCGAAAAAGAATGAGTTTTTATTTAAAAATGGTATTTATCTATGGGTTGCAAGTTGTGCAGTGTTGTTGTCTTTTCTTCAATGAGAAACGAATTTGAAGTGTTTGATGTAGGTAGGGTAGGGTTTGTGATTTAGGTTTGTTGGTATGAGTAATATTTATGTATATCATAACTTGACTTGCTTGCTTATTGGCTAAGAATACAAGATGGCTAATGCTGACTTTTGAAGGAGAAGAGAGATCTGTTATAGGATCCATTGGAATATCTGTGTGGATGGGGAAGTGTGGGCCCCTTCTATTCTTCTCCCAAATGATAATGGCAAACAACATAGGATTCCATGTGTTTTATTTCTTTTAAACACTACTTATCTTTTAAACACAATTTATCTTAAACTTGTACTGTAGTATGAAAAAAATGTGTAATTTTTGAAGTTTTGATACAAGGGCAATTCCGTGTTGGAGTTGGTGTTTGAAGATTCCGATGTGGTTGAAGAGGTTGACAAGATGTTGGTGGAAGGGTTGCATCTTAGTCATCCTTGTTGATGCTGCAAGACTGGATGGAATATGATTTCTCACTCCCAACAAACATTTTTTTTTTCTTCTTTCCTGTTGTCATTTCTCCATCTTTATCTCCAACAATTAGTCAATGATTTTTTTGGTTCAAACATAATGTTTTCTTTACTTTCTTAGAAAGAGAAGGGAGGAGAATTTATCCACAAAAATAAATATTAAATATTTTTCAATGATTTTACTATATAGTATAAGAAAATTAGGAGAGCTTGAGATTTTGGATTTAAGTATTCATACATTTTATATTTTACTGTTATTGTGTTTTTGTCTCGTAATTTTATATCAAAAATCGTTTTAAATAAAACATGTCATATTGTAGTTTGGGTGTTAGAGTATTAAGAGAACATTTTCTTAGTACAAGAAGATTGGGAATGACACACTGATATGTAAGTTATTGTATTTAGTGTATATGTTGATTAAGAGTGGAAGGGATAAGTGTTAAAAACATTTAAGTATGAAACTTATTTCAAAATGAGTGTTTTCCTGTTTTAACTTTTTTAGAGTTTATGATAATACAACCAAGAAATTTTGATAATTTAAAAGAAGACTATCCCTTTTTAATTAATTATATGTGTTAAAGTGATAATTAACTATCCATTTTTATTGTTCAATCAAATTATAATGAATTGTTAGCTTTAAACCTTAGTTTTATATGATGTGATCAATTAGATTAAATAATAACCGTCTATTTTTATTATTCAACTCTTTGAGAATAATAATGGAAAATTAGACTTAAACCTTGTTTTTATAATGATGCTATTAATTAGATTAGATATTAATAATCCATTTTTATTTTTCAGTCCTTTGACAAAACCAAAAAACATGGTGTTTTTTTTAATAAAATTTTCTAAAGAAAACTTTTATATTTTGTACTAAAAATTTTCTAAAAAAAAACTTTTATATTTTGTATTAAAATAGTTTTTGATTAAGATGATTAGATTTCTTAATAAACGATAATTTTATTATATTTTTCTAGTTTTCTTTCTAATAAAATATGGAAAAAAGTCATTAACATCTTCCATCTTATCTTTATTCATATAGGCCAATAGATAATATATTTATTTCTTTCATTGTTTTTCTCTATTGTATTCAATTTTCATTATGAATCCGGACACAACAACTCTGATAGAGCCATAAAATATTAAGATTCTGCAGATAAAGATGCCTATGCCAAGACCTCACTTCCTAAGGAATTCAAAAACAAAAACAAAAATTTATCCTTCCAAATCAATGTTTTCATACTCTTAACTAAAAAGTATTCAATATATATATTTTTTATCTTTTTTCTTGATAATTCTGTTTATTCAAATACATGAGATGAAGCCTAACAAGACAACAACATAATATTCATCAAATCGTTTTTAAACTAACCAAACAAATCATATAAATTCCAAAATAAAAAAATCATATTGAAAGTTAATTTACGTTTGGTTTCGAAATTCTTTTCTCACTCAAATGTAAATACCAAGGTTTTTATGACCAATTGCAAACTCTAATAACTATAACTAATCCTTTTTAGACCAAAATGATTTGACTTGGACTTTTTCTTAAACAATTCCAAACTAAACTAGGTCTATGCTATATAGTTTACACTCCACTTGTGTTTTTCTTATTTAGTATTGGGTTTCAAACAGTTATGCACTTAAGAAAAACTTAATTAATGAAATGCATCTTAAACAATATATGGTTATGCTCTGCATTATTTTTTAACACTCACAAAAGGAGACTGTGATTTTTATATTGAGGAAACCCATTGAATCTATGTGAAAAATAGGTTGAAAGAGGATTGAATTCCAAGAGTATAATAGGTTTTCATGGTTTATAAATTCTGTAATAATAGTTAGGTGGAAAGAAAGTTGCATGTTAGTTCTTGGAAGACAAGGTATAATAAGTATTCATGGTTTATAAATTCTACTACTTTTTTTTTTAATGAATGATTTCAAAGTAAATTACCTAAAATTTTGTATTATATGGGGATTTGTGCAAATGATGGAATTGTAATGAAATTATGCCACAGACACATAGTTTTGCTAACTGGTGTCTTTTAAAAAAGTGAAAAAAATAGTTTTTATCATTAAAAAAAACACCAATTGAAAATTATACAATAATTATTTTCAATAAAAGAACTTTGTCCTAATACGTGTAAAATATTACTTTTTCAGTCTGTATTAGTGATATTCTCTTGTGTTATTACTGTTCTAATTTGTGCAAACACTTCATGACATCAACTTTTCTTATTTCATTTTCACATTTTAAAATCTTGGTCTAAAATGAAATAACCTTTAAAAAAAAAAACTTTATTTGGTCAAACTGTGATATTGTATTTTGAGACACACTTTCAAGCCTTTGAAATTGTCGGAATATCATCAAGAGAACCTCTTCTAACCTTCTTTAGATGAGTTATCACTTCATAAAAAAGAACTTAGTTTGGATTTGAAGATAGAATGACATAAATTTACTTTAAAAATTGCAAAAGAACAAAAGATAATGATAAAAAATTCAAAAACTATTTTATGTAATTTTCTTTATAATGAAGATTTAAACGAACATAATTATATAATATTTATATTTTTTATTTATCATAATGAAATAAAATAACTGATATAATATTATTAAAATAAATATTAAAAATTATTTTATTAAATCATATCAATCACGTCTATTATAAAATTTTCACTTAACCCTGTCCACTTTTCCTTAATTTGAACATTCAAAGTTAGTTTTATTTGAGAAAAAGAAAATAAAAAGACAAATAGTTTTAATTATGGAAAAACTTATAAAAATAAAGAAAAGATTATAATAAATATGATTAAATTTTTTGTTTCAGTTTACTTTAATAATACTAATTTTTTATTTTATTATAGTAAATAAAAACATAAATATTAAAAAATACTAATGTGTCTCTATTTATGTATAAATCTTCCTTCTTATGATTAAAAACTATATATACTATTATTTTATTTTCAAATTTGATGATTATTTTTTCATTGTTTTGTATTTTTTTCTCCTTGTACTATATATTTGTTTACACATCCAAATACCCTATGAAAGTTAAAAGAAATACTTTTTTATTTTATTTTCAAATTTGATGATTATTTTTTCATTGTTTTGTATTTTTTTTCTCCTTGTACTATAAATTTGTGTACACATCCAAATACCCTATGAAAGTTAAAAGAAATACTTTTTTATTTTATTTTCAAATTTGATGATTATTTTTTCATTGTTTTGTATTTTTTTTCTCCTTGTACTATAAATTTGTGTACACATCCAAATACCCTATGAAAGTTAAAAAAAATACTTTTTTATTAGTAGCTCAAGTGATGCTTATATTTTAAAAATGATGTACTTCAAATTCACATTCTTATAGTCTAATAACATTCATAATATATACTTTTGTTTTAAAGGATTTATTGTTAGGAAAGATAATACTGAGTAAAGATCTCTTCTTCTTTTTTCTTACATTATTAGAAAATAAAATTTATAGAAAAAAAACATAATTCACATGCAAAAAAGAAAAAAATATAAAACATAATTCAGATAGAAAAAAAACATAAAACATAATTCCCATCCGAGGAATAAAAACACATATAATTATATGCTTCTCAAAGACATGGATAGACATTTTCACTTTCTTAATTTATTTTCAGTAATATCTAAATTTTGTCTGTTCTTAGCATGTTGGTATGTGTTGCTTTAATATATGCTAGCAAAGTTAAATCCTTTTATTAATTATAATATTGAAATTTATCATCATGAATGAATTATCATATTTACATATTATTTCGTTTAAAAATATACTTCAAACTCATCTAATTTTTGGTTTAACAGATTTTTCTCTCTCATTTTTATCCATTTCTACCAGTACTTTTGATTTCTTAATTTAATTTTAACAATTTTTAAAAAATATTATTAACATTTTTTTTTTCTAAGAAGAAAGAGGGGAGAAGAAAGAAAAATTTATCAAACCATTATGGTATGCGCCACGTATTAGATGTTACAATGCGTTACCTATCAGCTTGCGCCGTTCCATTACGCCTCTTCACTCCCTCCGGTTCCAACTTCGCTTTCTCAAATACTAGCTTTAGGGTTACGCATTCTATATTAACTCGGCCGAGTCAACTCATATCAATCTCAATGAGTCAACCCGCCGCTGATCTCAATGTTGTTGCCACAACCAAAGATGGACTGCAGCAGCCGGAAAATACAGATGTTGTGGTGCAGTACGTGGTGCTCCGGCGGGACCTGATTGACACTTGGCCACTTGGGAGTGTGGTCACTCAAGGTTGCCATGCTTCTGTTTCGGCCGTCTGGTCCAACAAAGATGATCCTGACACAGTTGATTATTGCAGCCCTGACAAAATTGATTCTATGCACAAAGTAAGGCTTATCTCTCTCAGTTATTTTTTGTTCGTCTGATAAGTGAAAGTCAAACTCTAGATCACAATGTTCATGTTGTGTTGTCAAATTGAGCCTTCTAGTACGTGAATTTGTTTATTCTTTGGACTTTTTGTTGTTGAATTGGGCAAACCTTGCTTGGTATGGTTCCTAAAGTTTGCGTTTTATCTGTTCCTAGTAATGCTTAAAAACCTAATCTATTGTAATGGCAGTGGGTTATTACTTGGAAGAAACTAGAGTAGTGAAAGAAAAACATGGAACTTCAACCTTGTAACGGGATTTCACCTTATTTCTTGAGCTTTAGATAAAGCTAGACGTATGGTTCATATTGGCATTGGCTAAACTTTTACATTGCTGAAATTTGAGGTGTTGGAAGGAACCTTTCTTGAACTTATTTATAGGAACAGGTGAAATAGTGTTGACATAGATTCTTCAGAACATGTTGATTATGATGCTTTCAATTCATCAAGACAAAATAGAATCATGATAACTCTAATACTAGGCCTTATTAAATCTTTAACTTCTTCAACGTATTAGCATTGTACTACCATGAATGTTAGTGACCATCTTCCCTTCCTTCTACATGATAAATCCAGTAAACTAAAGATCAACATCACTTGTAAAAGGCAAATAAGAAAAGAGAAATTCTATTTTCATTGATTAAACAGTTATATATATAAATAGTATCACTAGCCCACAAATTGAATGAAGAAAGTAATAACCCTGACCTGTAGCAGAAAACAATTTACTACATGTAAAAAAAAAATGGTTTTAATGAGAATTTTACTACTGTCGAAGTATGGATGGGAATAGAAAAGTCTCACATTCGGGTGATATTTCTAAACAAATAGAAATTAACACAAAATGCATAAAAATCAAATCAACAAAATTATTCATTGGGATATATATGATTTTGAAAGTCAAAGGATTCTTTCTTTCTTGGTCTTGTAAAATAAACGACCAAATTTTGTTGTTCTCTGTGAAAACATCCTAATAGTTTTGAATGAATATCATAAGATTATTTTTAATCTTTAAAAATCTTCGTTGAATACTACATTTTTTTTTAATTAAAGTCTTTTAAAATACTTTGAAATCCCAATTGAATACAACTTTTTTTGGATATTAGCATGCTGTGTTCGTTACGTGCTCTGTTTAGCTAGTCATTGATAGTATGATAAAATCAAAAAAATTCCCAATCAATCAACTTCAAACTGCGTCTGTATTATGAGAAAAAATGTATACCGTTGCATTGTTCTTCATGATGGATGGAAATTTGTTCACTTCTTTGTTGAATTTACCTATGATTTGCTGAGGTTGCCAAATAATAGCCTTTAGAACAATGGTTCAGCGTCTCTGTTTTATTTTTTATGTGAGCCCTAAAATATCAACCTCTAGATTTGCATGATTTTATGCTGTATTGTACAATATCGAGATTGCCATCCTTTGTGTGAATCGAGATTTTGAATATATCATGCTGGAATACTGAATTCCAGCATTTTGAGGTGTGATAACAATATATTAAAGTTGAAAGTACAAATATGCTCTTGACATTGCTGAAGTTTTGTAATTGTCAATATATGATTTCATAATTTGTTCTTCATCATTTTTATGTTCAATTGACCATTAATGTTTCTGGACAGCAATTCTGGATTATCTGTGATATTTTTGTGACATCAATTTTAGTTCAATTTTATCCACTTAACTATTTTTTATATCCTCTGTTTACCTTTGTAATAAATTTTGGAGAAGTTTACGTTAGATTCCATCCAAACTGTTTATTGCATTAATTTTATTTTGCATGAATATCTTTAAGTGGATATGCATTAATTAATTAGATTGCTGAAATTCCCATCATTTTAAAGGTAATTTTGGAAAAACGATTCAAATTGTGGATAAGTTTACTAGTACTAATTAAATAAACCAAATTTCATATTCCCATCATCTAGAGGCAATAGCATGTATATATGCATATGGTGTTTCTGATTGATTTTTTGGTATAACTGAGCATCCAATTTATGGTTAAGTGGCCGCTGAAAATCGTTTGTAGGTTACACTCGAAGTAAAGGGAGAAACCCAGATAAAAAACTTGTCTGAGAAGCTTACATCTGGTGGGATCATTCACAAACTGTGGATTGAACAACCTGAAAACATACCTACATGCCTTGCCACAAAACCATACCCCAAGTCAATCGTATCTCCTTATTTTAAGAAGTTGAAACTCTGTAAGTGATTTCTTGTTTGATGGTTCTTCTATTTTCCCTGTTGCTATAATTTGGTAGAAAATGTACTGAACTATGATTGATAATCAGGGAAATTATTATTCTGTCTTCTCCCCTTGAAAATAACTTTAGAGCAACTGTAGTGAATGTCACTAGCAATTCAAGTCCGATATCAATTTCTTTTAACTAATGGCCCGGGATGGGGGATGTTGTGCCTTGATTTTTGAATGAACCTTATCGTAAAAAATAAAAGAAGTTCATCATTTCTTCTGGCAAGTTAATTGGGGTTGTGCTTGTTTGCATACAGTAAAGAGAGGGTTTGGAGTTTCTTTTTTCTTGGGCTTACGTCCCAGTGATCTCCCAAAGAGTTATCCAGTTTGCATGAGTTATAGAATCCCTCTCTTATCTCAAATCAATGTAACTACATTAACTGATGTCTCCCCTTTCAAATATTGTTTTCTTCTGTGTACTAATATTTTAAAATTAACATAAAAGATCGGCAAAATAATTGCTTTCTTCTCTTATGTTAGTTTCAGATTTCAATTTGTACCTTATCCGTATTTTGTAACAAATCAGTAGTGATTAGCATATTTGCAAAAACTATGCAAATTCATTACAAATGGATTGGCATGCCTGTTAAATGTGCAGCATGATGTAAAAATTATTAAATCTGGTGCCTTGTTTATGAATATGAAGTTTAGTCCCTTATTTTATTTTATAGCTGTAAAATCCATTGTTAGTATTGGCTTTTACAAGTTTTTAAGATTGTGACAAAAGGTTGCTTAGCTCCCTAATTAAGTGTTTATAGTCACTCACTCTTGCTAAAAAAGATAGACTACTATTTTTACATATAAAAAGCATTCAAATTGGACTGTCTTCTTTCCTTAAAGTTTACTAGGGTTCTTGAATTTAGTGTTTATTTCCCATTTACTTTTGTTCCAAACAAAATTGGATTGTTCTACTGACTTTAGGTTCACTGAAATGTTTGAATGTAAAGAAGTATCCCACAATTAATTAATGATCTCGAAAGTAGAAAATCGCAGAACATGGAAGAACTGTGAGTGAAAGGAAAAGGTGTGGACAGAGAGTAGATAAAAACTTAGATTTCAGAAATCATTAAGTCATCTCATCAGGTTCAAATATTTCACAGGAAAAGTAATATACATGGATACAAAAACTATGGCATATCATCTGGTACCTACCAAGTAGAAAATAAAATCCCTACAAATACATAGTAAAAAGGCCTGATATATATATATATATATATATATATATATATATATATATATATATATATATATATATATATATATATATATATATATATATATATATATATATATATATATATATATATATATATTATTGGAGGACGAGTGGTCTGGTGCAGATGGTGCAGTAATACCTGCGTTTGGTTTTGAAGTATAAAGGCAGAAAACAGAAATTCCATCGGGTCTCTACGTCCATAGCTTGAATCATCCCTCCGCAGTAAGGGCATGCACCAGGTGCTGGCTGTCTGGACAACACCTTCTCATCCTCTCCACACACAAACACTAAACACATGATCTTCTCCTTAATCTCTTTCTCCCTTTGTTTTGTCGTGCAACTTCTTATTCTCTACGACCTTGGATCCAACACTGCAAGATATAATGATGTCTTCCAGGTAACGCTTCAGATTCTTAGCTCCAAAGAAACGCGTTTCCCACAATCCCTTTTACTTTTCTTATCAATGTTTTTCTTCTCCGCGTCCTGTTATGCCCACACTTTCCTCGCGTCAACTCTTGTCTCTTTCTCTTATTAATAATTTTTCCAAAATAATATTTCATTAATAATTTTTCCAAAATAATATGATTATTATAAATCCTCAAAATATAACGCTAATTTATATAGACTGGCTCACAGAATATTTATATAAAGGCTGACGTCTATTTATGCGGTCAAGTTGTTGGTAAAGCAGATTCTGAAGTGGTGCTAACTGCTCCACTGCTCCATCAATAAATTCTGGGATTTGCATCATAGACACGTATATCATATAATCTATTTAATCAGATACGGAAATGATCCTATATGTAAAATTATGCTATAGAATGGGTATCATAACTAATTAGGTTAAATAGATCATTACAAAGTTAACCCACCAAATTAGAAAAAATAATTGAAGGTTAGCTATTTTGGGTATAGTAACATACTGGGGTGGAATTTGACAAAGACATTCGACTTCAGATTGTAATGGGCCAAATTCGAAAAGTAGAAATCCACTATATTTTATTAACCAGTTTTTGAATTGTTTTGTTCACAAAAACAAAAATGAGTATTAGATTCTATTTTGCGTGTTCACATCAATTTTGTATCTATCCGGGTTTGAGATATCTTGATTAACACGAAACTTATCAATTTCATGAATAATTTTTAAACTAAGGAATCTGGGTGAAAAACTTTTATTCTATCAATACAATTTAATCTTATTTTATGATTTAGTCATTTTAGTATCTTGAATAATTTTAAATCTGTGTTCATGCACAGATTTGTTTATTTGTGTATTAAGATATTTTACAGTCTTACTTGCTAACAGACATATTTTATCTATTTTACGTCATCTTTCTTCTTAGTTTTAGTAAAATAGTCAAAAGTTTTTTTTTTAAGTCAAAAAATATATAATTATTATTTATAAGTTGCACAATAAATTTAAATACTTAAGTCCCATCGATCCAATCTAAATCAATCTATTTCTTATGAGATTGATTTTGGTTAGATTTGACAAGAAGATTATGTGAACCTAATCCAATTAAATAATGAGATTAGTTAAACACTCTTATTATTTTCCATCACGTTCATCTTTAAAAAGGAAAAAGAAATCATCTGCATTCCTTTTGTTCTAACAAAGAAAAAATGAAAAACCTAATAAAGTAGGAGTTGCATATATCTTCCTATGGCCACAATCTGATCCTGTGGTGGAGAAAATAATATTCTTCCACTTGCTTGTTCCTTTTTTTCTTCATTGAAAATATATTTATTGAAGTGACAACTATGATAAAGAAAAATAAATGTATACTTTCTAATATAATATTATTGGTTTTAATATAAATAATTGTAGTAGCTGAGAACATGGTGACCACGATGATGCTTGAAGCTATGATTCATTCCCCATCACCGGAAGATGCAGTCACAAACATCTTGAATCCATGGACGAGAAAAAAAAGTGAGTAAAATAAAACCATCATCGCTTAGCCTAATACAACAGAATTAGATTAGAAAGCAAAAACACAATACATGGTATACCCTTTTCATGCATACATCACTTGGCAGCTACTAGGTGAGAATTCGCTAAATGAGCTAGGAGCCTCCACCACCTGCCATGTCACACAAACGTCAGCAGCACAACCTTTGACATCTTGCTCCATGCTGGAGACTGTCTCAACAACCCCTATTGCCACATTCAACCCACAAGATGCCACGTAGATTCTGTCATCCAACCCCGTGGCACAAAACGGTTTCTTCATAACTTCTCTTGGAAATCTATCACCTGCCACAGGGTACCATGTGTCATGCTCCTCGTCGTACACCTTCACCGCGGAATCTCCACACTCGGCAATCATAAAAACTCTTCCGCCAACGGTCACACCCACCCCAGTCCACCCTTCTCTCATTCCTATGCTCATCTCCTGCCACGTGTCCTTCTCCACCTCGTAAACCCAGCCCCTAGGCCGGAACATGAACGGCCACCACCACCCCTCCGTCACATATACCCTTCCCCCTGCCGCCACAACCTCGTACCTCTCTAACTCCCCTCCCAACTCACTCCCCTCCTGCCATGTGTTGCTCTCGGGATCGTACACGCCGGTGGCACCGGCTCTCCCCACCGCGACGATCCTTCCCTCCACTCCTTCGGCAGCCACAAACTCCCTCCCCTTGGGTCCCCCAGCCACCGACCACTGGTTCGTGGCGGCGCGGTATGTCAGGGTTTCTTCGCCGTTGATGACGAAGAGCTTCCCCTGGCGCGGCAAGGCGGCGCAGGCAAGCGGCAACATGCAGGTGTCCTCCGGCGAGGGCATTTGAGGAAGAAGGAACCAACGGGCAGAGGAAGGATCAAGCGCCTGCCACTGAAGCTTTCCGGTTTGGGAATGGAAAGCGAGAACGAAAAGGTTCGGATGGGAAAGCGTTTTCTTTGAGAAGATAAAGGAAGGATTGGTTATTGCTCTGTTCCAAGTGGAAGAAACAGAGCGAGAGAGAGCCTGGTAAGGGTAGGGAACGTGAAGAAGACATAGCTCTGCTACTTCGTTGGGCAAACCCGGAATAAGGTCTCTGTGTTCCTTTTCTCCTTCGAAGTAAACCATGATGTTTGGTGTGCAATGATGAAATGAAGAGCGGAAGAGAAGAGATGATAAAGGAGAGAAGAAAGAAAAGTGTGAATGATTGAGTTGGAATGATGGATGATAGATGATGGGAACTGCAGTGGAAGTGGGCCATGGCGTTTGTGGGCCCATATCGATCACTCCTAACATTAAATAACATTTCATGCTTTTTCTCCTTTTTCACTCTTTTTTACCCTTCAATTTATAAACTAAATCTTTAAAAATCATAAAATAGAAACTAATTAATTTATGCTCCACAATAATATTTCTTTTAAAAATTAAATATACGGGTTTTACAGAATAAACTAATATATTATTAAAGCAACCATTTCATCTAAATTATATTTTTATTAGAATATTTATTTTCAGAAAACTGCGATAAACTGTACTGAGAGAAAAGTTAACAACTTTTAAATAAAACAAAACATGCATGTGTAGTTGCAGATAAAAATTGCAACGTAGTCTAATTTTTCTTCAAGCGGTAAATAAAAACAAAACATTTTTTCACGAGGACAAGGTTGTAAAACATTATATGCTATGTATCTATGCACTCTTTTCCTTACATTCGCAAGGAGACAAGGTATGGTCCATATTTTTTGTAATAATAAATAATCTCGAATAAATATAACACACGTATAGATCACAAACTTAAACCTTGGGAAAAAGAAAAGGTAATATAAATGCTATGTCTCCTTGTTTGTGTAAGTTAATTTTATTTTTGTGATGCCAATTTTTATATTTTTTTAGTCATACATTGGTATCAGTATTGCTTGTCTAGTTGTATAAATATATATATCTATTGACTTAAATCCCATGACAATGAAAAGTATGTGATAAAAGGATAAATTTGTAATTATAAGCTATGATTGTTATTTTCTGCTCATGTGTATTTTTCACCCTCCTCATTTTTAGTATATGCATTTCACGGCCTATAAATAGAAAGTGACCTTATTCCGTCACCTTTCGTTTTCTTATGTGCAGTAGATAGTTGAAAGCAAAGAATGTATTACTAAAGGAAAATGACACTTGAACAACCATTTTTGACAACATTTAAACACGCGCACACGTGTATAAATTTGAGTGATCCATTTTTATTTAATTTTTTTAACTGGACCACTCAAATTTAGACACGTGTGCGCGTGTCTAAATGTTGTCAAAAATGATTGTTCAAGTATCATTTTCCATTACTAAATAGCCGTTGAAAATGTCTAATATGCTGCAATGAAACTCTGTTTCCACATGCGCATGACATTTGCCATTATAGTACACACTCGATATTAAGGTACATTCAACAATCTAACTTAGGCTTAGAGAAACAACCTCCACCTTTGGTTATAAAATTATATTATAAAATTATAAAATAATAAATTTATGAAATTGCATGTGATGACATGTAAGTAGGATAAAGGAACAAAACAACACTCACATCACCTAACCTAGTTACAGAAAAATTAAATGAGAAAAATTTAATTAAAAGTTATAATTTTTTTAATACTCAATAGAATAAATATTTAATAGAAAATCTTGTGAATATGCCTAAATTTATCAAAAGCTTAAAATTTAAAAACCTTTATAATTGTAAAATTACAAAATTATAAAATTGGACCATTAAATAAGGTAACAAATATGATAACAGTCCTATCATCCATTGACCACCACATCACCTAGTTAAAAAAAGTTAAACAACATGAACTTAATTAAATTTTGAATACTAAATTGATTATAAATATTTAATAAAAACTCAATTAAAATTTTTTAAATTTATCATAAATTTGAAACTTAATTAAATATACCTCAAATTTAATAGGGTTAAATATGTTTTTAGTCCCTAAACTATTGGTCATTTCTGGTTTTCGTCCCTCTTCCAAAGTAAGGTACAATTTGGTCCTCATTCTTTAGAAAAACGTTCGTTTTAGTCCTCAAAATTTTGTTTTTAGTCCTCGTTTTAGTCCTCAAAACGTTCGTTTTTTCGACTAAAACGAACGTTTTTTTAAAGATTGAGGACTAAATTGTACCTTACTTTGGAAGAGGGACGAAAACCAGAAACGGTCAATAGTTTAGGGACTAAAAACATATTTAACCCAATTTAATATTGTGTATCACTATTAATTATTGATGCATTTTAACAAATTTAAAAAGGATATGATTGTCGAACATAAATCTAACTCACATGATGAATTAACACCACTTACAATCCAACATTTTAAAATAATGATTTTATGGGTTTTCAACTAATGTGTTTATCAAACGAATTTAATAAAAAATATAATAATAAGACTTGAACCAAATTGAATAAGAGATTAACATCATTCTTATCCTAAAACCTTAAAAAAGAAAATGATGAAACTTCACATATGATTTTTTAAAAGAATTCACTTAAAATAATAATAACATCAATAATAAGATCACTTCAAACCTAAAATCTCACACTCAT